CATCAGTCATCAATTAACTCATTCATTCGATCAATCACTCATTATTTATTCATTCACTCATTTCTTCGATCATTAACTCTCTCATTCATTCATTCATTCATTCAACATGTGTCGACCCTTGAAATTGCACGCGACTTCCAACGAACATGCATGACGCTAATGATTGATGACGTCACGTCACGTGCTTCGGTCACGTGATAAGTATTTATCAAGTGGCTTGTTAAACGCGTCAAAGTCGTCTGCGTCTGTGCCGATGGCGCGAATTCATTCGCAGTCAGTCGGTCGGTCAGTCTGTCTGTCTGTCCGTCTGTCTGTCTGTCTGTCATCAATGCTGTCTTGTAGCCAGTAGCATCGTCTTTATCCTCATCATTTTTTATAGTTATAATGATAATAGCTTTGAAAAAAAGTACAAATTATAACAATTATGTTGAAAATAATAATAATAATACTAATAAAATAATAATAATAATAATAATAATAAAAATGATGCCATCATCATCATCACCTGAGCAGCCGGCATAGACATCATGTTTACGAAGCAAATGGTCACCACCACTAGTCAAAGATACTGAATAGTTCTTCCTCTTCACTAACGTGACGTCATCCATGCAGCCGTGGAAACCGGAAGTTGACCTAATTATACGCGGGAGTGACGCCATGATGTCGGGAGGACCGCCGCCGATGTAAACGTCATCGTTCAGGTCAAAGTTCACTGACCTAATTTAATTGAAAGATAATGATATTAATAAATAAAAAACAACAACATCAATAACAACAACAACAGTAAAAAATTGAGCTGCAAAGACAAAAGGGTCTGATCATCATCGCCATCATCATCAGCAACATCCGAATCAAAACCATCATCACCATCATCACTATCATAATAACCACCACCAACATCATCATTATCATCATCTCCCACTTGGTCACATGACCTACCTGCCAGTACTAATGACGTCATGTATGAGGTAGTCGTCGACGACGAGCGTCATGGTGTGATTGCTGGTTCTGGAAATGGTGACTGTGTGCCACAGGGAATCGCTAATGTAGCCGCG